TAAATATTATCCGATGGCCACCCTTGTAGGCTTCTTCCCCGCCCTAAACTCTAGCTACATGCGAAATTCCGCGTCGATTGGTCTATAATTGCGACCTGTATAGCTACTGCAAAATCAGACATTTTTTGAGTATTTGGTCCATTTCAACCCCTAAACATTTGGCGATTATCTCCAAAAGAAATATCCTTCTATCCTAGCCCTAACCCCACCTTCGTGCAAAATTTCGTTAGGATCGGGTCATAATTGCGACCTGTAGCGTGATTACAAATTAACATGGACAGACGGACGGACGGACATACATATCGACTCAGCTCGGCGAGCTAGGAAGATCCATATATACTTTCCTATGTGGGAAACCAATATTTCGAGGTGTTACATAAATTCTGGCCTAATCAAACTTATAATACCCCCAACACATAGTGTTGTAGGGTATAATTAGGAAAGAAACTAGTGCCAGTTGCATTAAGCTGAATGAAAAAATGTAGTTAATACTTAGATATTCGGGCAATTAAATTTAATTGAGTCTAACCTTTCACTCAAAATGATAGAAGTTTCGTCATTTACTTTACGTTCATTAAACATAAATAGTTTTCTGCAAATACTCCTGCAAATTGTAAAATTAATATTATTTTTCAAGCTTATTAGCATTATTTTGGCAAAACTGACAGCAAAGACCAACAAAACCTTAACAAGGGTCTTAGTTGCCCAAGTAAATCAAGGCTTTGCACCAACATTTTCAATTAATTATTGTAAATTGTATTTTACGCATACTGGGAGTGTGTGTGTGTTTGCGTCTATGTGTCTTCCATAAATATTTCAACATTTTAATTAATGTAAAAACGGATTTCAAGGTTGCCGTATTTTAAACATATGATTCATTATAATCCTCCCCATATTTAAATAATACATTCATTAAAAGTTAATTTGCCAAAGGGAGGTTTTCACTCGAAATTGTCTTAAGTCCGTAAATGCTTTCAACTATTATAAATCTTAATGTTTGATCTTTTGTTTCTTGTTGTCGTCGTCATCGTCGTCATAGTCACAGACAAACCTCAAAAAATTGCTTGATTAATTACTAACAAAATACTATAATTATGATTAATGAAGGTTTTACTAACATGTGTATATACACATGCACACACACACGCTTACTTGTTTGTGGTAAATAGTTCGCCGGAAATGGTTATGAATGTGCGAGTATAACTGCGAACTGCCAGTGGAATTTTATATCTATAAGAATTTTGTAAATAGCTAGTATTTCTGCGAAATTACACACATACATTGTTATAATTATTATGTATGCATTTATACATATGTATGTGTGTATTTATGTACGCAAGAGCTTACAACCACAGTGTGATTAATAACAAACATTATAAAAGATTAAGACATTTAGTTGGAAATTATAAAAAAGGGGTGAAAGTATATAATAGACGCACAGTGATCGGAAATGTTATTGTGAAGTCTACTATTGAGAAATTGCTAGATTTCAACCAGTGTGCTATAATATATTTGTTTATTTTTAAGACATGTTTGAAACAGATGGATAAAAATATAATTGTTATATGAAAAAATAGGTACACAAAAAAGTACCATATAAATATGATATATTACAAGGGACTAAATTTAGTACAATTTTATTTATTTACTTATTTTTATTTATTTATATTATTTTTTATTTATTTATTTTTATACCCTCCACCAAATGTATGTATGTAGGTTATATTAAGTGTGTCATTCCGTTTGTAACACCTCGAAATATACATACAAATTATACTCGTATATATTCTTGATCAGCATAAAATTCTATGTCGATTTAGCGATGTCCGTCCGCCTGTGGAAATCACTCTAGCTTGTGAACGAAATGAAGTAGAAATGGGCCATGTAGGTCCATGTTTTGGTATAGCCCCATATAATTGTACCTCCCTATTTTCGGTATTATGGTGATTTAAGCAACATTATTCACCGGATATATTTTAAATTCGGTATTTGAAGTTCGTAATTGATACTACAGCCTAAGACAGAAAATTTTCTATGCAGTTCCACGTCTCGTATAGCCCCCATATAACACAAACAATTGTGTGTGCAGGTCCACGTCTTCGTATAGCTTCCATATAACGGCACCTCCCGATATCCGGTATTTTGATGATTGTAGCGACATTATCCACTAGAATTGTTTAAAATTTGGTAGCAGAAGTTCGTAATGAATACTTCAGCCCAAGACAAAAAAAAATTCGTATAGCCCCCATATAACGGTACCTCCCAATATTCGGTATTTGAATGATTTTAGGGTCATTATTCACCGGAATTGTTTCAATGTTGGTACTTGAAGTTCGTAACGGGTGCTATTGCCTGTGCAGGTCCACGTCTTCGTATAGGCCCATATAATGGTACCTCCCGATATTGTTTCAATTGTTTCAAATTTGGTACTTGAAGTTTGTAACGGATACTTCAGCCTATGACAGAAAATTATATGTGCAGGTACACGTTTTGGTATAGGCCCCATATAATGGTGCCTCCCTATATTTGGTATTTTGATGATTTTTGCCACATTATTTACCGAAATATTTTTCAAGTTTCGCATTTGAATATTGTGATGGCTTACGACAAAAGTTACCTATGCAGGTCCACGACGTTGTATAGACCCTAATATAACGGCTACATTCGGAATTTTTAAGATTTTAACAGAATTTTTAACGTGCTTTTTTTAAATTGCCAAATTCATTCATGGAGATTATTAAAAATTCGGCCCGGCCGAATTTACAGCTTTACTTTTTTTACAAAATGTGTATCAAAATTAATTTGTGCATTAAATTACTCTTTTATCGCTAAGTTTTAAATCTTGTTTACACCTAATGTGAATACGTTTTCTTAATGTATCCATAAATCTTACTTTTACTTTACTTTAATCAGCTTGATCTAGGAAATTTAACACAGTGAGTTATCTAGCACAGACATTTTTATATTCCAGAAATTCTACATATTTTTGCTTCTTGTCCACTGAATTTCTAGCTGTGAAATCACGCTAGTAGTGTCCGATATGGGAAATCTCAATAATCAATATATCAACTTATAATAATAACCATTAAGTTTGGCCCTCCACCATTTGAAAGTAACACTTTAGAAAACATGGGTGCTGATATCTTGTATTTGAGCGGGACATATATTTCTGTAAATTTAAAACGAAAATGTTTAAAATTTCGTTAAAATTATCGGATGCTACCTTTTGTATGAGTATATATGAAAAATTTGTGCATGAAAGTGCTACCCTATTTCGAAAGTTACCCTTGTACCAAATGCAATCTTATAAAAATGTGGCAAAACCAATAAAAATACAGAATATCAGAAGGTACCATTATGTGGAGGCTATGTGGACCTGGATAGGTAACTTTCTGTCATATTAGATGGAAACCATTAAGAGCTCGAAATATGAAATTTGAAACAATTTTGTTAAAATTATATGAAAATCATAAAAATATCGAATATCAGGAAATACAGTAAAATTTTGACACATATGAACAATTCATTGCAAAGATGTTCCCCACATAATTTCAAACTGTGCAACCGCACATGTTGAGTACTTTTCAGTACCCATTCGGTACAAATTTTCATGCAACTTACTGTTTTTGTCTCCTCCCTACTAAATTACCCTCATACCAACTTTCAGAAATTTTGGTATCGGTTGTAGTACTATCCAATAAATACTATTTTCGAAATTAAAATTCCCAGTACATTTAAACATCGTAAGTCTTACTAATACTTTATAAAAAAGAAGTAAGCAAAGCCCATAACCGTGCGGAACCGATTTACGCTCTCTGTCGTGCTGATAGGAATTCAAAACAATTTCACACAAACATTTTGTCCATTTAACCCGCTAAATATAAACTCCCATTGAACATTTCCCGAGTATCGGACGATAATAGCGACCTGAGTATTATATCCCAACACATAGTGCTGGTTTTACTCCCACAAATAGGACTCCCACAAATAGGTACCTACATAAGAAGACTCAAGATTTCTAATTCCTTTGGTAAGAGTTTCCGAAAATTTTATAAATAAAATAGATGCGTGTGTTTTCGCATTTAACTACAGTGAATGAAAATGTTTTTATGAATATTTACAAGTATGTACATACGTGTGTGTGTGTGTGTTTCCACACATAACAAATAGTTAAGGATTAAAAACATATAATTTATCAACATCAATGTGGTACAACACAGAATAAGTTTTCACATAGGAAACGCTAAAGCATAATAATGACATCAACAAAAGCCAGAAAATGTAAGAATAACATATGCCACATTAAATCTTAATGGTTTTAGTTTTCTCCCCTCTCCTTTCTCCCATCAACACATTCACATTTACTCAAATATCCTTTCCATGGCCAGTTTTGTATATTAGGTAATATTCAACACATACAAAACTAGTAACAAATTATTAAAAGGATAATTTTCCTAAGGAAGCTAAACAAAAAGCAGAAAGAAACTGTTGATACCAGAAAATCTGGCACGAGCCAATCCTTGTGAATACAGCACAACCCACCAAAAACCAAGTCTGTGACACAATAATAATCCCATTTAATAGCAACAAATACCACTCCTAAAGACTTAACACGCACACTGCTATATATACACACACACACACTGAGACAGAGAGCAACACACAAAGTCCCCCAATTCATCGGACACACGCCAACGAAACACTGATGAAATTGAAAATGAAATCTGTTTTTGAATGTCCCTCTGCTCATAACTGAGTATTTTTTGATTTTATTTAATTTTTTTTTTGGTCTTCTTGTATTCAGTTTTGGGTTTTTTCGTTTCTGTTATTTTTTCGTCGTCTACAGGATTTGAGTAAATATTATTAGTGAAAGTGTTCTAAGTATGTGTTTAGCATAGAAAATATTATGGTTTTTGAATTGTATTTAATTTGATATTTACCCAACCAACCACCCACCCACAAAAATGTGGCTGGGCTCTTTTTTCTTGTTTTGATTTCAGATGGTCGCATGGGTTTGTCAATTCTACCTATTGCTGCTCTCTTAACCGGCACCCTATTCACGGTGGGCATTGCTGTTCTATTTGTTGTTGTCGTGGCCGTCCGCAAGAGACGCTGTCAGGGTGGCCGTAACATGTGCGATGACAAGGATAAACATTTGGGTACGTATGCAAGATAATGCTTATGGAGAGTGTGTGTATGTTTGTATCTGTGTATTTGGTGTTGTGAAGTGGCAAGGCGTGGAAAAAACCGAGCGAAGTCAGTTTATATTTACCATAAGCCGCTGCGTTTAAAGAATGACCATATAACTGTATAGATGCTGTTAAAAGCTTTTGGTAATGTATAAAAAATTGATGAAATGTCTTGTGGGCTTTTTAAGCGGAGCTGGTAAACAACAGGAGCGTAGATTTATATGAAAGTGAGACTTTAACGGGAAAATTCGCATTCAAAAAAATATGAATTGAAATCTATGTCAATTTCATGGAGAAATTTGAAAATATTAATAAATATTCAGACTTTTCTACTGCCTTATATGGCGAAGGAGATGCATAGGATGGCTGAATCAAAGTAAAGGCATACTTTGGAAATTTAAATAAGCATGTATGTGTAGTAAAAAATTGAAATCGTGCGAATTTTAGCCTTACTTAGCCTACTTATATTTTGGTTCCTATCCTTTTGGGCTTTTATTACTAGTTTTAAGTTTAGATTGGATTATAGAAAGCATTTGTTTAAGGCTGATATAGGCTTAGTCGATACCAGGGTTAACTCAAGGACCCTAAGTAAAAAACGTGTTGTCTAGTATTCTGATTTCCAATATTTTGATTATGGCCTGCTTTGAAAAACTTCGTTTGCTTGTCGTTAAAGAGAGGGAGCGAATGAGTCGCAAAAGCGGAAGAACTGCTATGAGGTAATACGACAGTACCTTCTGCCACAAAGCGAGAACTCTATACTTCGGTCTAATCCAACACACGACGACCATTAGTAATGAAGGCTGATCATTTTATCTATAAAAGTGATTGAAGATTATTTCTTCACAACGTACAAGTACAACTACGAATCATCTATTAATGCTTGTAAGATCGGAACCTTCCGTTTGAAACTCCATGATTTATTCATTCCATGCTTCCGTCTGACTGTCTGTTCATCTGTCCGTCAGTGGAAATCTCTAGCTCCCGAAAACAAATAAAATAGTTTTTTTACTGTCGTAGAATTTTGTATTGAAAATGTGTCATAGATGTCCACTTTTTTAAATAGCCTCCTTAAACCGGTACCGAAAGATAAAAGGTCTTTTGGTCATAATTTTGAACCAAAATTCTCTGTAGATTAGCAGTTTGTGTATCCGGTATGTATTAAACATTCTGTTCATATTGACCCAAATTTAAGTATAGTCCCCATATAATTGTAACATCCGATATTCCGTATTCTGATGATTTATGTCACATGTTTTAGCGGAATTGTTTCAAGTTTGGTATTTGAAGTTCAATGACGTAAAATTTCTTATATATTACCACGTCTTCGCACAGCCCTCATACAAAGGTACCTGCCGATATAAAGTATTTTATAATATGACTTTAGTCACAATATTCATAGGAATTATTTCAAAGCTGCTATCCAGTGTTCGGAATAGGTACCAACTTCTCTTATAGAAAAAATATCTACACAGGTATACGTTCTTGGACAGACACCATATAAATGCACCTCCACTAACAGACAATTTCTTATACAGGTCATCGTCTTCGTCCGACCCTCACATTATGGTACCTTCCGATATTCAGTATTCAGTATAATGGCTTTAGTCATATATTTTAAAGGATTTTTTTTTTGACATTTCGTATTGCAAACCCCTAATAACAGAAAAATATATCCTACCCGAAAACTAGATGTAAGCAAATATACAAATATTTTGAAAAGTGTTTAATATATTATTGTTCCCCAAAGGTTTCACATTGTATTTTAGCACTGCAGTGGTGTCGATCACTACTTACAAAACTTGTTCCGGTAGTTTTCTTAGTTATTTAAGCATGAGATTGTGATTGATGTACAGTATCCGCTTTCTCTTTTGCACAGTCCAGATTTTTTTTTGGAGTACCCAGGCCCTGTATAATATTCCTTCTTCTTTTGGACGCGGTGCAAAAAATTTAAATATCAGCTAAATCTGTTCTAATCAGTCAATATACTACAGAAAGCTTCAGTTGGGGGGTATTTTGACTGTCTCAAAACAAAATTCATGTTTTTCGTTTTTTGTGTAGCGCTTATATTATTCTCATGGTGAAGGGTATACAATATATATACTTAATTCACTTTTAACTTGTTGGTCGTAATATTAACACATCAGTTCTTGGCCCCGTGTCATTTGCTATGCCAATCCTTATTTTATAAAAAAACCGATTCCTATTTCTTTGGGGTTGGCCCTGCCTGATATCCATTGATCTGCACACAGTTCCGTTTTCCACTTTCCAATTTTTTTACCACACATTTAATAAAAAAATCCAATATTTTCTATGTTTTTATTTACATTTTCTAGCTGTTAACAATTTTTTTGGAGCTTATTTTTTGTCTAACAATTTTCTAAAATGCTTTGTTTTTATTTCCTCTTTTTGCAGGAATGGATGTTACTGTTACAGCACCACTAGAGACTGGTCCTGGTCATCAGCGCCTAGTTGTTGCTTACACTCTAAAACAAGGCATTGAAAAACAACCGGATATATTGAGTGCACAAAAAACGACGACAGGCAGCGTAACTTCATCACCATTGGGAAATCGACCAAGCGGTGGCATTTTTATAGATACCAATACCAGCAATGGTGGCGTAGGCTCTAAAGCTGGCAATTACACAGGCAATGGAGGTGTGGTGGGTGTGGGCAATAATTCGACAACAGGAAACTATGTAAGTTTGAAGCAAATCAAAACACACCAAAAAATAAAAACAACAATTTCTGAGGCAAAATATGGAATTTTGTAGCTAGGGGATGTGATATTAAAAGCTTAACTAGAATCATCCAAACAGCAACAAAAAATATAGAGAAAGCTAACAGAATTACTTTACCTCCAAAGGGATTTGAATGCCAAAACAAATATTTAGAATACCGAATATTAAATAGAATTCTGTAACGAAAAGTAAATAACGGTTATGTTTTTCCGTATCTATTTTTTTCTCTATTTAGGATTCGCCAACAATGAATTACAATGATGCTTCAACCACCGATCCGTTACAGCAACAACTCAACAGTCCTCCTTCGCAATCGAGCACATTGAAATTGGGCTCGGATAGCAACAGGAAGCCGTATCAAACCCCACCACTGCTATACGATGCACTCAATCGTCATGATATCTCACGTTATGACCCACTGCCATTGGCCATGAATTATGGGGGAAGCAATACCACATTAAGTTCCGGCGGTAGTGCTGGCAACCACTCGCTAACCAACAATGCAACCACATCACTTATGCAGAGCAACCTCAGCAATGGCCACTATGGCAGTAATCATCATCACACATTGCCGCATCCAACGTCGATGGCCATGCAGCAACAGCAACAACAACAACTGGCATCAAGTGCTACACACCAGGCCATGGGCTCGGAGAAACTATCAATAGCTGATTATCTTACGGCTAGTAGTCTAATTGATTACAATCTCAGTAAAGCTGCCACGGGGATGTTGAGTAACACCATTACCGGTGCTGGTGGTGGTGGCGGCGTTGGTGGCATTGGTTCTAACAGTGGCAATGGTTCTTCCAATTCAATTATGGGCCATATGACCCTGCCCAAGGGCTTGGGCTTAGGCTCCATAATGGGTGGCGGCAGCACAAATCAACCGGTCACGGCCCAAACATCTGCATCGGCAAGTGCAACGTCAACTACGCCAAACTCGACTATAACACCTTCATCTTCCAGCAATTTAGCCATAACACAAAAAACCAACACTAATCGTAATCATATTATAACGGATACCCTGCCGGGTCCAGAGAGTTGTGTTTAAATTTAAATAAGCCATAACTCAATTTTTAGAAAAGCTAAAAACTTTTTTGCCTCCAAACAACTCCTCTAGGGAAATTTTATAAAATTTCCAATTCAAAATGAATGAATGAAAAAATTGACGAATCTAAATGACGACGAATGAAGCATATAATAGTACATATATATATAGAAGAAATATATGCGTTTATATACAAACTAATGTATGTGTAAATATATATTTTAAGAAACAAGACTGCAGTAAACTAATTTAAAAAATAACATAATTTCGTAAATAAATAATAACTTAAAAAGCAAACAAAAATTAAAGGATGTGGAAAAGAGAAATATTAAAAAACCAAATTGAAAAGCAAAAACAAAAACAAAATAATTGTTAGATCAATGAATTTTATGTAAAGGAAACCAAATATTCCTATTAAATAATTATAGTTTTTTTAAAAAAATAAATTAAGGACACGAAACAACTGAAGGATAATAAACTGCGAGTAAGAATGAAAACATGCCATTTTTAGTTTATCGAAAAATCAAAACCAAGCATTATAATCAATTGGAAATTTATGGGCAGTGTAACTTTCATCAAAAAAGCTCTACCTATTTCTTTCAAATAGTTTCCTATATTGATATGTCATTTTTCTTCAGCAATATTTAAAAACGGCATTACTTATCGCTATCACTGAGTATTGTGTTTTTATTAGTCTAAACATAATTACAATGTTCTTGTCCAGAGAAGAGACTTTTAATTATTTTATGGAAAAAATATTCTTACATTTTCGTCTTTGATTTTTTTCTTGAGATATTTTTAAATATTCGTCTGGAATGGAAAAAACGAGGGGAAAACTATTAGAGATATGTGTGTATGACATACCAAAGACCCTAAAAGTTAATCAAATGTTTGAGTCAATTTTAAAACTTTTTATTTCAATTCAAATATTATTTTCAGCGTTGCGATTTCAGGTATATTTCGCTTGAATTTTTAACGATTCCGTATAAATATAAAGATCAGAAATAGAGGAAAAGAATATGGAAAAATTTTTCACTTGACATTTTTCTATGACAATGTGTACAACTTTGTCTTAGAAGAAAATGAAAATTCTTAGCGAAAAAGTTCAAGGAGATAAGGAAAAACGGCGTGATATGTGTCATTTCTGTTTTAGTCTTTTATCACGCTGCAGAGAAAGATTATGGCTAATAGTTTATATATTTTGTAGCGTCAAATATTGCGACTCTTCGCCTTTGGTCCAGGTTCTTTAAATATGTATATAAATGACCATATACATTTTTGAAATAATATATCATGGAATTTGGATTTTTCTACACGCAGACTTTAAATTGAAGAACAACAAGCTACCATACTACCATTTTCATACCCTTAGGCATATGGTTACAGAGAATATAATAAATGTGCCTCATCGAAATAACGTTCTTAGATCCTATGTCTCTTTGGACGAAATGCATTTCAGGACATTTGGAGTCGATCAAGCTGTGTTCGGTCGCCCGTCTAACTGGTTGGCTGCCTTGTGCACCAGGGAATATTCAATGTCCTCCAAGCTTAAAACAGTGTACTAGTTTTACCACCCTTAAATCGAGTGTTCTCGGCTCACCCCTTTTGTTTCCTCATCCACATATGTTGGTAATTTTTAACCATTAGATCTGTTGAGAATATGTTCGGGTCAATTATTGAATAATTACAATTCTCATAAAATGCGAAAATATTTCCTAGTTCTCTTCAAAATTCAGAAAATATTGTACTAACATTAGGTGAAGTATAAAGATGGTATATGTAGGTCCAATCGTTGTGGTACGTTCCAAGCAGGGTACTCATAAGTAATGGCCCAACGTTGAGGAGGATTGTCAGATAAAATTCAGGCTAAATTATTAGTACCTGGTTTAATATTGTAAATTCTAATGAGAGCAGAGAGAATTTTCCCGAAAACTTTAATTCATGCTATATTTACACCCATTAGAAGCTCGTAATATCAGTTGACACAGCTGAAAAGGATCTTTAAAAAACAATATTTGGGTATACATTTTTGAGAATATATCTCCGACTAATATTTCAAGGTTTTATAAACGACATGACCAAATCAATATTGTAGTGTATAGAATATTTTAAATCCAGTAGTGATACGGAAGTATATGGATCAAAATAGGCGAAGAATGCCACTGAGTAAGGACGTCATTAAAATGAAGCTCTTTCAAAAAGGGATAATTCGTCTACTTTCTGGAATATAACTATATATTTTTTTTATACAGTACACCACATAGTGGTAAGGGTATTATGTCTTTGTGCATTTGTTTGTACCAGGGAGAAGGAAGCGATATAGACCCATAGTTACTTCTGAGGATATTCATAGAATCACTTTCTGGGTCAATTTATGCATGTGAGTCTGTCCGTCCATGTCTGCTTGTGAAGCAAAGGACGAACCCTATTGAAATTGGTGATAATCGTATCAGATTTAGATATAGCTCCCATATTTCTTCAACAAATTTCTGGTTAATTCTGCACCAAATGGCCAATATAAGTCCTAATGACCTGCATTGTGGTACATCTGGCCGCATTCAGTTTAGAAGCAAGTACATCAGATATAGCTATATCTCCTATATATATGTTTCACCGTAATATGCACTCCACAACAATGATATTTGGTACAAGATATCTTATAGAGCTCAGAAATACTTTTTGCAAATTTTATCTACAACGACTAAGGAGGAGGATATAGCTCCCATATATATCCTTAATCCAATTTCAGCCAAAATGGAGTGAATTTCGGGACGTACGTTTCCATTTTGTGGAACTCGGCTCTGATATATACTTTTTAATATAATCCTTCTCGAAGTGATATAATGCACTCCATGTATGTATATGTACGGAAAAAGGCGACTCGAGTTGCGTCGCTTTTTTCCGTCCCATTAACGGCGTAGGTTCGTGCCCTAGTGTGGGTATTTTTAACAATGTCTTACGTAAACGCATTAGATGTTACAATACATATTAGTCATAAGAATAGGGCTGTATCGGCCCACCTTTGATGTACCTCCCATATTACGACACCTATCCAATCCAATAGGCTTCAAAAAATCATCTCTTCTTCGGCAAAAATTTTAAATATTGGTCCACTTTTAGGTACAGCCATTATTGTACATTCTATCTGATTTTACACTTTTGAAACTTCTATAAAGACTATGATTTGATGTACTACTATACAAGAGTGCAGACCGGTACAGGTTTGGCGTATCCTTCATTATCTCAAATTCTAGTTAACTGTTATGCAAAAGCACTGGGATTAAACCTGACAATTTGGAAATATCAAAATAGAGTAACCCAAAAACAAACGTCTATGTAGTTCTAGGTTTCTCCATATACACAAATTCTCAAAGCCTTGGGGACATTAAAATGTTCCATTAACTGTTTTCTTATATCGGAAGTATGAAGATGAGTGGAGAATATAGTCAATTTCTATATAAAAACTACCAAACTGACATGTATCAGACTTCTCTTATTAGCGTGGAGATTAGGTGAGAGATTTATTCGAAGAGGTAGTCCAGTGATAGAACTAAAATAAACAATTTCGGATCACTAGAGATTACTTCCTATTCCTTCCTTCGTGATACTGGGACAACGAGGGTCTTAACATTGGCTATGTTGATGATAAATGCTGTGAAAAGAATTTTGTCCAAAAAGGCTATTAAAATGATTACATTCGATAAATTTTCCGAACTTTTAATAATCAAACAAAAATACCTGGAAATACATAATCTCCAATTTATAGTTGTTTTTATCCAAAAAAAAAAATCTAAAAATTCTCTATCATCAAAATTAATCTATAATCCTGTTGTTAGCTATTCTCACAACTTAAAAAATACTTTCCACAAATTTCTTTACACAATAGTATTTCCAATTGATTTTATACTTGCGTTTTTCATATATATATATATTTTATATATTATATAGTCCGTAGGCAGCAATAAACACGAAAACATTATCCATTGTGTTAGAAAAAAATTCTATATGCCTACATAAAGAAGTGTACGGATATTGTTCATATATACTAGACATTGAATTATGTTAAAAAAAAAAACTCTTTTTGTTAAATCAAATTTTGTACAAAATCAAATAATCTTAATAATAGATTTTAGTTACCAAAGAAAACTATAAAATAATAACTAGTTTTAATAATAGTACCCATAAAAGAATTCACATATATATTATTATATATATAAAAATGCGTATGTATTTACATCTAGAATTCCTACCAAATAAGTAATTATAGCATTTAAGCATATCTATGTTTGTTGTAATGACATATCTCTACTAAGTTGTGAAAAGTGTAATGTTATAAATATTGAAAATAAGAAACATAAAATCAATAAAACAATAAAAGTTATAAATATGTATGTACATATCTATAGACATATCCCAAACAACTATCTCTGGTTTTATATTGCTGTCCAGTTTTTACAATGGTTGTTGGTTTTACCCCGTCTTTTAATTTAATGGCTCTCATTCTGTTGGAAAATCTGATTTTTATTTTCAAAATTTCTAAATAAATGTTTGTTATGAATTATAAATTTTGAATATGATTTATTGGGAAGATTTGCTGAATTTTTAAATGTTTTCATGTCATGATCTTCAGAATACTTTATCAAGGACTATAAAAGCCAGACACGTTATTTTAAAAATGATCATTTTTTCACGGGAATTTAAGATTTTTTTCCAAGGCAAATATTTGGGATTTTTAAAGAATTTTTCTTGAAAAGCTCTAATTGTTTTTAAAGATTTATTTTTTTGGAGAGACCTTTTTATGATCCCTGAGGCTAATTATTATGGATATTTTAAAGGTTTTGCGAAAGTATTTAAAATCCCTTCAATAAATAACTCTTCATCCAATTTTCTGTTTGACCCTGCTTAACATTGTTGACAATGCGCCTATTAGTTGTTTGAATGAACATATTTTAATTAGAAACTTAACTTTTTATTTTCTGAAATTTGCTTTGTTAGAGGGAAGATAATATTAATGATCTGAAATTGGTAGTGAAAAAAAGCCAAAGTGACACTATCACACACTCATCATTAGGTATATTTGCTAAATCTCAAAAATTAAACTAATGAAGGAATAATAGCTCAAAAATCGTGAGGGCCGACAATATAATATCCTACACCACTATGCATATTTTGACGAGCTACTCTTAGCAAATTAACATGTTTTACTATGGGGAATTTATGTGAAGTAGATCATACCAACTATGAATCTTTTCTAAATGCATATATTGGCTTTAGATCAGTTATAACTTTAAATCAGAGGAAACTAATATATGGGAGATTTATCCAAATCTCCATCGATTGTCACCAAATTTGACAGAGGTAAGGGGGGTCACCAAGTGTTACTATTTCGTGCACAATGTCCAAATCTGAACCGATCTTGAGCAAATTTGCCGGAGGTATTTCTGAGCTGCATACGAAATTTCATTCTTATAGAGTGCATATTACGAAAATGAGGGGCTCAAACTCCATATCGTATAAAACTTATATGTGGGAGCTATAGCCACATAAAACCTTAACCGATTTTCACTTAATTTAAAGTATTTACTTCTTATATTGACCATAACCGTGAAATAGGATCAAGATATATGGTAGGTATATCCAAATCTAAACCGAACATGATAAAATCTAAAAAAGGTATTTCCGATATCTGGTACCAAATAACTAACTTTTAGAGTGCATATAATGAATGTGAGGGACTTAAACACCAAATCATATGAAACATACAGGGTGAGATAAAAAAACTGCAACAAAGTCAAACGCAATAATTTTTAATTTTTTATACCCTACAACACAATGTGTTGGGGGTATTATAAGTTTGATTGGGCCAAAAATTATGTAACACCTCGAAATATTGATTTCCCACATAGGAAAGTATATATGGATCTTCC